TCATTCGGTTTTGGACTCTATGAACCGTAATTGGCCAAGAAAGAGGCATTTTGTATGCATTGTAACATTATGTCAATTATATTTTCTTCTTCAGTCCATTTAGTTTATTTAAATCTGTTTAGGTACTTAAAAACCTGTTTACTGTCGTGTTCAGTTCAAAAGAAGAAAGATGTGTCGTGTTTGCTAAGCTAGTTTTATAAAACAAATTTGCATTAAGAGTAAAGTATCACCGGGTCTCAATATTCACATGAAATGAAGGAACTACTAGGACTTGAATACCGCAAAAGCTTTGGAAAAATAGTATAATAAGACCTATAAGTTGTGCATTCTTTAGGCAATCAACAGATAAAAAAATCTCCGGCAAGCTCTGCCATATCATACCTTATCGACTTGATACTTCTAGCAGTTGCATTTGTTTGATAGGCTAACACCAAATGCCTTGGTGAACTCGGTTACCGGTAATAAACCAAGGAGTCTGAATCCCCCTCTCTAGTATGCAGGAGGAACTCAAATAGCCAAGAACTCATCTTCTCCTGCTTGTGAAGTCATGTTCTTGTGCTTCCTCATTTTCTTGTTAAGATCGGATATTACCGAATCAAGGGCTTCAAACTGAGGATGAGACTTATCTCCAACGACAAAAACATGATTCTCAGTCCCAAAATTAATCCAACTGCAACCTGGCTGTTTCTTCAACCCTTTTCCCTTCATCTTCATTCTCATCTCTGCAGCTTCCTTCGTTTTCCCGCTCGCCGCATATATATTAGACATCATTACATAAGTCCCAGCATCATCCGACCCTGTTTCCAGAACCTTCTTCACCACCTCTTTGGCAATACTTACGTCACCATGAACATTACAAGCGGATAAGAGCGCTCCATATACGGATCTTGATGACCTAAGCTCATCACGATTGATGAACTTTAACACATCTTTCATTCTACCAGCCCGACCACAGAGATCCACGAGACACGTATAGTGATCTTCTCGCAGAAGAAGTGATTCGTCTCTCACGAGCTCCTCAAAGAACTTCATTCCTTTCTCTACCAATCCAGAGTGGCTGCAAGCCGATAGCAAGTTAAGATAGGTCACCTCATTGGGTTTGAACCCATGTTTCCGCATCTGATCATACATTTCAATTGCTTCCTTCCCATGCCCGTGGTGTGCATACACTGCAATCATACTGTTCCATGATACTTTATCCCTTTGGCTTACCAGCCCATCATTGAAAATCTTTATGGCAGCATTTAGTTCACCGGATTTTGAGTACATGTTAACAAGCGCTGAAGTCACAAGTTCGTTCTTTTGGTGCACCGACTTAGATATCAACTGGTGAATCAGCTGCCCTTCCACAAGCCCAGCCAAGTCACTGCAGGCGCTTAAAATGCTCACATAAGTTCCTACGTTAGGTTTAACACAGCCTTCCCTTAACATCTTTGCGAAAACGTTAAGCGCAGCCTCGTTTTCTTTATCCTGGACGTATCCTGTAATCATCGTGGTCCAGGATATTACATTCTTGTCAGGCATCTGGTCGAATAAAACACATGCCTTGTTTATTTCCCCATTTCGTATAAACCCTGTGATCATCGTATTCCAAGAAGCAAAGTCTCTTTCTGGCATCACTTGAAAGAGTTGGTCAGCTTCATCTATTTTATTGTTATGTGCATAACCTGTGATCATCGCATTCCATGAAACGATGTTTCTTTCAGGCATACAATCGAAAACCCGTCTTGCTTCATCTAACTTACCGTTCTTTGCCAATCCATCAACGATAGCAGTCCATGAATAGACATCCCTTATAGGCATTCTTTCGAATAGAGTCATCGCCTCTTCTATCCTCCCACGCTGAACCAGCGCTTTAATCATTGTGTTCCAGGAAACGGTGTTTCTCTCAGGCATTTCATCGAACAGTTCCAGGGCCTTGTCAATTCTCCCGCTCTGAGCATACCCATCAATCATAGTATTCCAAGAAACAACATTTCTCTCTGGCATTACCTGGAAAAGCATCTCAGCTACAGGAAACTGCTTAGATCTCAAGTACCCACTAACCATGGCCGTCCAAGTAACCACATTTTTCCTAGAATCAGCCCGATCAAACAGTTCTCTAGCTTCTCTCATATTCCCTAACTTAATATACCCAGTGATCACATCCGTCCATGTGATCACATCTCTCTCAGGTATTCCGTCGAACAGTTTGCGTGCTTCTGCGATTCTACCTTCTTTGCACAGGTTCCCAATCAGCCATTCGGGTCGTGCGACACGTGATTTCAACCTATATCCGTCTCTTCTAGGTCTCGAGCTTCCCGGGTGGATGGAAGAGCAAATCGAACGTAACAGTTGCACGGATTGGTGATGGTCTGAAATGGACAATACCGATGCTTTTCTGTAGTAGCATATCAGGCTCGACAAAGCGCGAGATTGCATAGCTATAGAAGATGGCAAAAGAGATCAATTTACTGTTTTGGTCGATAGAAGAGAAAGAGAAATCTTTATCAGAGATGGTCGAATCGCATCGACTTCAAAAAATATTGTCGGAAGGGAACGATTCGTCGGAGAAATGATGATGAAGTCACCTTCTAATGTCTGATTTTTCTCGTCATAAACTGTGATTTGAGTTTCGTATCTATTCGTGGTCATCAATGGCGTTTGTAAAGAAATGTATGCTAGCTAGGGCTTGCTGATATTACAAATTGGAGAATCGAACTCGTGCAAGGAACAACAAGCTCATATTTTTGGTTTTGTTTTCTTATTAATTTTCATCTAGTTTTTGGTGTGGAATAAAAGGAAAAAAGTGTCAAGCATATGGAGATTGACCAAGAAGTGGTTCGAGCTCAGCCAATTGTTGCCTCAAGAAATTGTAGACAGACTCTGTAGAATCCGAAGCTATTCGAATCACAACTCCTTTTCCCTTCAAAAATTAAACCAACTTTGATCAGTAAGCCATAAGTGGGTTTCGAAAAGTGCGCATGGCTATTAACTTACCTCAGGGCCAAATGTGCTGCAGGAAGCAATGAACTCTGGTTTCATGAAGCCATTTCTAGAGCTTGACTCAGATTTGTGTCTTTGAAAACCGTAAGAGATCTGTAGTTGTTCCGACATCATATTCTTCACGTTTTCTTGGACTTGCTTTTGGATTAACCTCAGCTTTGGCCTTTCGATCCATTGTCAAAAGAAAAAAAGAGCAAAACAGATTTAGCAAAGATCCAAATTCCCTGTAAGAGACTAATATATCAACTAGAAAATATGGTTTGGAAAGGCAATGTACCCGAAGAGTATGACCATTGCTATGGCGTGATAGTCTTGCATCCGTTCTGCTATGCTTTGGATGTTCCTCTTCTCTAGCAGCACCTGCGGTGAAGGTCTAATCTCGGTCATGAATGCTTTATCGATACTACTACATACAAGACGTTCAGAGGGATTTACTTGATTACGGTAACACATTCTCCATAAATCTAAAAGTGAGTGTGAGAATTACAGTGTCAAGGAATAAAGGGTGATCATTTTCCAGGTACACATTGTTGATGCTCTTGTAAAAATCGAAATCCCATTTTTCACCATTTGCGTGACGCCCGCTTGTGATCCAATCCACAAGAACCAGATTAGAGTCTGATACCAATCTAAAGATCTGTTTCTGATAGTACCGAGCAGTGGAGAAGCAAGTCACTGGATCTGGAACCACAACCAAAAGAGCTTCACTACCGATTCTCGCCTACTGCACACAACAAAACGAGCCACTCTCTCTATCACATTCACACCAAAAGATCAATCAGGAACATGAATGAAAGAAGAGGGAACACAGCTCAAATGTTCATTCAAAATGATGATTCTAGCAGAAATGTGGAAAGAAACATTACTTCCAATAACTGTTCAGAACACTTTGATCCTATTGCCTTGTACACCTGTATGAAATTACAAGATCCAAGCCCAGAAAATCAACAAAGTATTCAAAGAGAGAGTAGAAAAAAACCCTAATTTGAATCAAGGACAAAAAAAATGTTTGATTCAACCTTAGTAGAAGACTGAGTAGTAATCACTGCAGTGCATCCATCACCAATGGTGAATTCACATGAAATCGAATCTCCCTACACAATTTGAACAAGAAACCTGTTCGATTGTAGCATC